GTTTAGTTTTTGTTTCTTTGACATCACTTGAGCTGCACCTCCTCCAAAGGACAGAGTGCCGCCAGTATGGCTCTTGAAATCTGGATGCACCGCAAAAGATGCGTCGATCATCCATTTCATGACTCGTGATTTTCATGTAGATACAATCTTCTCCTTCCTTAGCTTCAGGCATATAAGTTTGAATGAAAGCGTTAGGTACGTCCATCGTCATTATATCTCTACCTTCATGTGCATCAAGAACACAAGTAGTGGTGATTGCTTCTTGCAAAGCAGTTGCACTTGCAGTGTCCTCTCGTGATAATCATTCACAAGTTCCATCGCCTCGGTATACTAGGCGACATAAATTGTCTTTTTGAATTGCTTTTCTGCTAGTAACATCATCGCTGATTGGGCCTTCTTTCGCTCAGATGCGGTCATGTCTTTCACAAATTTGGGAGTAAAACAATCTCTCAGGAGCATTTGTCTCAATTCCTTATCCACAGCATCTTTTTCATCATCACCAAACTTCTTCAGTCCTTGATTGATGTAATACTGTTGAATGAAGTTCAGACCTTTGTCAGTATCAAACTTTGCCTTGATCTGCATCATGCAACGAGCGATCAGAATAGCGTCGTGCTCTTCATAATCAGCTTTCATCTCATTCCCAATCTGTTGGAAACATAGATTGTGATGTGCTTCAGGGATAGCTTTACTTGACTTCCCTCTTTGGTACGAACAATACCAGACTTCAATTTGTCCTTTAACGGTTTCATTTCCCTTTCTCGATGCTTGCGTCTTGTCACAACTCGATTCTTGTTCTTATTGGCAGAACTGCCACTCCTGCTCAAAGGTCATTCTCTTGGTTTCTTTGGAACCTGAGAAAGGTTCAGCCCTGACATCGTAGCTTGCGCATACGTTTGCCCAGATCGAGTGACTTTTGCTACTTGAGGCTCTTCAGGCTCAAATACAATCTCTTCTTCTGGTTGTTCTTGTAGATCCTCCAGATCAGTAATGAGGCTTCCAATGTCATTGGTTCTGTGACACACAATTTTAAAACTGTGCAGTTTTAAAACTGAGTGACGCAGTTTCAAAACTGAGATTATGGTCACAGCAATCTTAAAACTGGCACAAGCCAGCCACGCCCCAACCTTGGTTCCCACTATTTCTGCAGAGGTTGTTATCTAGAGCGGTTCTGATTCTGTACTGTAGTGGTGGAAGCTACCAGGTACGAAGACAAGCAACCCATCCGTAGTTGTAGGTCCAGCCCAGCACTAAAAACGCAACCTCAGTTTTCATCTCTTGTGCTGCCGTAGCGTGGACTCATCGTTTTCAGAGTCAATTCTTGCTTTCATATGAAGATGAAGAAAGAGTTCTTTGAGATGTCCTTAAGTGGCCCATCTGTAGTAGATGACGAGAATCCGCAGACTCACTCTTCATCGAGGGAGAAGAAAAACGATCTCCAAAAAGAGCAAGTTGGATATTATGCAATAATTCATTTTCACTAGGGAATCTGGAGATAGTTGTTCCTATTTTCGATTTCTAACAAGAGCATAGGTGGAAAACGAACCTCAATTTATATCGCGTAAAACTGCTGTAACCACCTCAATTTATATCGCGTAAAACTGCTTTAACCACGAGAACGACAGCCTGAAAATATGCAGCAAAATGGCTTTTACAGGATATCCCAAACTAGGTCACTTTTGAATTTCGATATATACATGACAACATATTATATATGTACCGTACATCACATCTGACTGCGCAATGACTGTGGGTACGCGGTATTTCCAGAAGTTCGTAAAATGACTACGCCCGTCAAGCCACCACTTCTGAGATTGTGAACGTTTTTTAGCTTTCTCAGTTTTGAAACTGCGTCACTCAGTTTTAAAACTGCACAGTTTTCAAAATTGTGTGTCACAGTTCCTCTATCGGCATTTCCTTGATGGTGATCCAAATCGGCCACAATAGGTTCTTCCTCTTCATCGCCTTCGTCACCCAAATTGTTGTCATCTGATTCATAGTCATCATCCCCTTGGAATCTGACAATGAGTTCCGGCATATCATCGACATCATTGTCTGCATCTGCCAAGAGCTCTTTTCTTTTGGAGTCATCGATATCATCAAATTGCCCACGTAGGTTGAAATCACGTTCATCTTCATCTTCAGGTTCATAGTCCTGATCAAAGGCTTCTTCTAAGTAACCTTGTTCCGTGTCATCCACTCCTGCAATTTGATTGCCATCTTGAAATGTCTCCAGGCTCAAATACAATCTCTTCTTCTGGCGGTTCTTGTAGATCCTCCAGATCAGTAACGAGGCTTCCAATGTCATTGGTTCCTCTATTGACATTTTCTTGATAGTGATCCAAATTGGCCACAATAGGTTCTTCCTCTTCATCGCCTTCATCACCCGAATCGTCGTCATCTGATTCATAGTCATCATCCCCTTGGAATCTGACAATGAGTTCCGGCATATCATCAACATCATTGTCTGCATCTGCCAAGAGCTCTTTTCTTTTGGAGTCATCGATATCATCAAATTGCCCACGTAGGTTGAAATCACGTTCATCTTCATCTTCAGGTTCATAGTCCTGATCATCTTGAAATGTCTCCAAATCTCTCTTCTTATCAAAGAACTTCATGGAGGTAACACCTTTGGCAGCAGCCCAAGCTTCAACACGCTGGATTACTTGATTGGTAACGGGTAGTACAACAACCTTGGGTCAAGAAATAATCTTCTTAGTATTGAGGTTGAGCACTTGGTGCCCAGTACGTTGTCCCTTTGTAGGTTCAATGTAGATCGCTTCAATACTTCGCGGTTCCATCAAATTGTTGGAATCCGTGCCAATTGCATGAACATACTGTCCAAGCTCAGCAACCATGTCACTCTTGTAGTTGATATTGACATTATCAATGAGTTGCTGCGGACTGAAATGTGAGGAAATTCTGCCTTTCTGGGAAAGACATTCAATAGCTTGGCGGCTCGACGTCCAAGTCATTCAGTGATCACCTTTGGTACCACTTTGTAGGGTAATCGTGCAAGAGCTACTCTAACTCTTTCTTTCAGCGTCCTATTGTTTCGCTCAGCTGTAGGCTTGTGGTCTCCAGCTGCAGTTGGGTCAATAGTAACACCCATATCATCTAGCATATCATCCGTCAGAGGGATGAAAGCTCGATCACACTTGATCGTCTTGACATGAAAGCCTGCCTTGTTGTAGCGGCGGAATATTTTATCCAATGCTTCAAACACAGGTTCAGTCTTCAAATTCTGCATGGGAATACATGAGCGATAACACACAGTGGTATCAATGCAGATGAGAAACTTAGCATCTCCAATCTCCATGTGATCAATACAGACGGTAATTGTGCGATTGTGTTGGTACAATTCCTCTGGTGGACTGAAGAAGTCATCGTGTGTCTTCTTCGGAGTTGGTCTTGTTGACTTGCCTTTCAATGTAGATGCATCAGGTCCAAAGATTGCTTTGGCATGGTTGATCGCTTCTTCAGTGATAGGACAGTCCTTGATGAGACCAGATTGGATCGCATACTTCAGACTTTTGGTGCTTGGAGCATTGAGTATGTGCATCGCACTTCTTGCTTCCATCGCAGCCTTGACTTGTCTTGGAGTGAATCCTTCCTTGTTCTTTCGAACTGTTGCCATCTTTGCAGTCATCCCGAGTCCAGCATATCCATTCTGTTTTGAAGAAAGTTCGAAATGGGGTT